TCCTCGTTAGTATAGTGGTCAGTATCCCAGCCCGTCATGTGAGGGCCAGCCGAATATAGGTGTAGTTTATCGAAAGCCTAAAAACCTGAGGTTCCTGATTCGATTCCCGGTTGTAGCTAACTTTTGTTGTCCCTTTACGAAGAAATTATTCCTTGATTATGTTTTATATTTCAGGTACTATGTTTTACTACATGGAAAGCAAGTCAATAATGCAAATTAATTGCACAACAATGTTTTTACCGTTCTTTAACTATATTTTGCATTTGCATGCCTATCTGAATATATCAATGTCCTATACAGTTTTTTTTTTTTTTGCGTTTTTAGTTTATTAATAAATGATTAATCTTATCAGGTCTTTTAATGTGGAGTATGTTTGTTTATATATATAACCTGTGAAGGTAAGTCACAGTCACCTTTTTATTTAAATGTTACTAGAAGGGGTGCATATACATACATACATACATATATATGTATATAAAATTTAAGAATGACCACATGGTAGTAATTAAATTATTTATTACAATCTGAACGTGAAAAAATATTTTCTTATCTAAACATATATACAGAATTAAGTACAGGTATTAATGTAAGGCAAAGATGCAATGAAATTGAATTTTCTTTACAAATGTAAACAAAATACAGTATCAAAATGTCACTATATATATAATGAAATGGTTGTAGGAAAAAATATTTACAATATGTGTTACAAATATTTTAGAACTTTTAATATTTCAAGTGTAAAAAGTAAAAATGAATGGAAAAAAAATCCACTTGGAACAGTAACAAATCCCCATATCAAACTGTACATTGTTCATTGAAATTAATTAATATTTACAATATTTACACCGCACTATAGGACTTGCAAAATTATCTGCAATTATTTGCCCTTTTCGGCAGCCCACCTCTCCTTTTCAGCCTCATAAAAAGAGGACTGAGAAAACTCCCCCCATGTCATTTCCCCTTTCATTCCCTGGGACTGGTACAAGGACAGGACTTTTGCAGGACAGTAAATGTACTTCCCATTCACACCAGGGAACCCAGTGTGAACATGGGAACTGTTTGGGCCT